ACTACCATAACGTACTTCAAGTACTACATACAATATATTACTACCATAACGTATTTCAAATACTACATACAATATATTACTACCATAACGTACTTCAAGTACTACATACAATATATTACTACCATAACGTACTTCAAATACTACATACAATATATTACTACCATAACGTACTTCAAGTACTACATACAATATATTACTACCAGCAAGAAGCCAAAAATTCTTTATGCATTAGAACGGAATGACCAAGAAACCAGCGAAACAACTATAAACAATTTTATCATCATGTTATGCAACAAACACAATACAGTCTGGATACGAAATTTAAATTCATTAACATGTTAAAACACCAGTACAACTTCTCACAACGCGAGTCATTTTCCAAAAAAGTGTACGTGTATATTAATTAGTACGTGTAATAATGAACACGAGAAACAGTACGCATCTTATTGCATAATCTCATGGACGTCATTGTTAGCTAAATAATATAAAATCTAGCAACTAGGAAAATAATACAGACATTGTTTTATATCCACAAAGTTGCTGGGTGTAATAGCTCGTAAATAAAAGCTATGAGATGTTTCACCTTATATTATCTTTTTAGAACTAGCTTTCGCAAAAGCGTGACCTAGTGGCCAGGGTCCCCATGGTGTTAACCCGAGGATTTAAGGTTAGTGTTCCTTTGAGGCAAGAATGCACTCCGCTCCGTACTTTGGGGCAATGGGTGCACCATAAGATTAACGGTTAAATCCCATTATTCATTCAAACAAGAGTAGCGCAAGAGCCCTCAGTGGGCGCTATTGGGTATCAGAATTACTTCTAGTCTATCAGTTCAAAATTAGGAATAACTATGCGCAGATAGGTCCTTGTGTAGTTTTGCACGGAAATCCTAAAACAAACAAAATATTTGACTAAAAGCAACTGAGTTCTGAAAGGAAACAATTCTTCCATTATTAAATTGTGAGAATGTTACAATAAACAAAGTGTGTAAATCACAAATTAAGAGTCTATTAAATTGTGAGAATGTTACAATAAACAAAGTGTGTAAATCACAAATTAAGAGTCTATTAAATTGTGAGAATGTTACAATAAACAAAGTGTGTAAATCACAAATTAAGAGTCTATTAAATTGTGAGAATGTTACAATAAACAAAGTGTGTAAATCACAAATTAAGAGTCTATTAAACTGATTAACGAAATATATTTTTACGTTATCAAATACCAAGTAGTTATATACGTAAATGAAGATATTATAAATGTGCAAGACACCCTGTATGAGATGAATAATGTATCTCTTGTATTTGAACTTTCATAAAGTTTTTATTCGAATTCTCTTTCAAGGAATGTGGTTTTCAACATAAATAAATAATAAAAAATACAAGGAGTACTAGAAAAGCATAAGACGGATTATTCGAGTAATCAACGCCACTGACTTATACCAGACGGCGCCGCTGGTCGACTTTCCCACAGAGTTAGCCTAGCAGGGTCTACTTGGTCATAGAGTAAAAGAGAGAAGTTAAGCTGGTGAGTTCCCATGGTTAGAGAGGCAGTAGCTACCAAAATAAAATCATCAACCTGAAACGGTGGGAATATTGAGATGCACCGCAATCAATGGTTGCATTGAGTTGATATCCGTATAGAGGCTGACCCCAATTTATCTCGTGTAGCGTGCACTTGTGGGCCAAATACCACGCTGCAGTCAGTACAGCAGTGCCCGGAGAGAGAATACGAATACATATATATACGCATATTTCTTCTTTTCTGTATTAGTAGTTGAATTGGAAAAATGAAGAAAAAGAAAAAGGCATTGCTGGAAAGTTTAGCAAAAAAAACCAAACAAACACAAAACATGTACGTGCTCAGATTCCTAACTGATAATGCATTAGTAAAGGGAATAATACAACTGACAAATTCGATAGAGAAATACCTGTTCCGAATGTTTGAAATAGACGTGATATTACTACACGCGAAATACCATTGAATAATAAGGTAGATAAAGTTTGTAATTAAGCACAAAGCTACACGATGGGCTATCTGTGGTGTGCCCACCACGGGTATCGAAACCCGGTTTCTAGCGTTGTAAGTCCGCAGACATACCGCTGTGCCACTGGGGGGGGGGCAAGACGGATAAGTAGAAAAATAATGATGATTATATGGATATCTGTCTGTCTACTATCATATCAGGAA